GACAACCTTTTGAGAGTAACTCCTTTTAGGAAAGAGGTTACTCTCAAAAGCAACGCGAAGGCAGCGCCATCTCTGAATTAACACAAATAATAGACAAATTGATAAATTCTGATATTACTTCTTTTCCTCAAGTTATGGGTTTTAAATAAAATTCAAACACAAAACCAACACTGAAGATTAGAATTTAGCATAATAAGACACATATTTTTCACAATAATAACGATGTAAATATACAGAACACTTAACCGCATAAAAAACACTATGAAATATCCTAAACACATTTGCTGGAATAATTTTAAGTCAAAATTTAACAGATGCTTCAAAATTGAATCCCTTGATCTAAACTATTAAAATTTTCCAAACAAAGTTAAGAAGTATAAAATTATTAAGATATAAAAAATGGACCAATAATGTAATTTTGAATAAAATTAAAGCAGAAAATGATCGCAAATGCATTATTTCGTTTATAATAATTTTTGTAATATCCCAGTTATAAATAAATCTAATAATTAAACAGTTAAAAATTGTTAAAATAAATGTTAAATATAGAATTAATAAAGCAGTTTCCGCATTCTTCTTTTATCCACGTCCTCATCATGTTGCATCATTTTACTTGAATATCAAAAAATTTTGAAGTCTTATATTTCTGAGAATAAAAATAATAAAGTTGAACTTCAGCTGAAAGTGAGGATAAACTTGGCCTAAGATAGATCATTTAAGCAAAAAGATAATTTCTTTAATTTTTATAAAAAAAATTTTACAAATTATTTTAAAGGTTTTTAGCTGGTTATCATTTGATAGGTTAAAATTTCAGAAATTAAAAGATCAGCCAAAAGAATCGGATGCATTCATGACTTTTTTGTGTTGTACAATTTTATACAAAACAAGAATTCCTTTACTTTATTTAATTATTATTAATATTTATTCTGAATTAGTGTAAGGATTTTTAGCTGTTTTTTTATTTGATTTTATTATATTTAGGCATCTCAAATCAAATTACGATAAAGTGATGGGATGTGATTACAATTGTAGACAGATTCTTTTCATCAACATATTTTATTTTAATAACTTATTTTTGTTATATTTAGGCTCTTAATCACTTGTTATACATAAAATTCNCATTTCCGGACGGACGTCTTGGAGTGATCATAACCCTTTAAATGAGATTCATCTCCAAGAAAGTCTGGTACTCAGATGCTCGAAATTTGCCTCTGTTATCCGAAACAATGACATGAGGTGTTCCATGGGTAACAAAAATTTCTTGGAGGAGCTCGACTATTGCAGAGGCGGATGTTGAAGTTATATGACACACTTCTATCCACTTTGACATGGCATCTACTATGATGAGCAATGCTTGTCCCTGCAAAGCCTAGAGGCATGACAAGTCTGTTGACATTTTTTTGGAATCTCTCAACCTGCACTTCTATATCATAATCTGGCCACCACATGTATGAACATATTATTTTATTTTCGGAAGAGTGAATACCCTTTGCATCGATACGGTAGCCCAAAAAATCGAACTTGATTTACACTAAAAAATAATTTTTTCCTATTTGTTTCAAGACCCGCACTTTTCAAATGCTCAAGTACCTGCTTGAAACAAGTAGCTAACTCTTCTTCAGAGCTTCCTTGAATGAGCGCATCATCAAAATAAGGAACAATTCCTTCTAAATTTCTAAACAAATCTTCAATTAAATTTTGAAAAATTCCTGGGGCTATGTTAATTTTAATTTGAATCCTTTTTACCTTATATGCACCGTTATGCGTGATAATAGTTTGAGCTTCAGTGGAAGCATCATCAACTGATAATTTTAAGTATGTCTGAGCCAAATCTATCCTACCATAATAACCTTCTTCTTTAGGATTCGAAAGGAGGTGATTTACAGTGGAAATCGCAAAAAGATGAGCACTCGTTGCTTTGTTTAACATGATTTTATAATCTCCGCACAAACGTACTTCACCCGAAGATTTAATCACTAGAAAAACTGGGGCTGACCATTTTGGATTAGAAATTTCTTCAATAACCCCTTCACTTTAAAATTTTGCTAGGGCAACGCAGCTTCAATTTTGGGCCTAGAACGCTACTCGCTTTACATCGAACAGGAGCAAGAACCGACTTTATAAGAAGAGATACTGGATTAACGTATACGTTCCCCTTTTACCAACTATTTTAATAATTCCAATCTCAAATTCATTTACCCCAGTTAATGAAATTCACAAAGGTTCAAACCAAGAACATCCCAAAATATTTTAAATTAATAATTCTAGCTTTACATACGTCGGCTAGTGAACTCCTATTTTTAGAAAAATGACACAGTTTAATGGAAGTTTCTTTAATCATGGGTTGCTCAGAACGGAAAACTTTATTCACAATGTTTGCACATAAATAATTAAATAATAAGAATCTGAATCAATTTCCATTTCTAATTTTTCTTACATAAAGATTAAAAAATTACAACATTAAAATATTCAGGTTGAACTTCAATTTCATTTGCACACTGCTTTTCAAAGGGATCAAGAGAAAAATTCTTTCATTACCAAGAATTTCTGTAAAGATAAAAATTCAATTGTTGAGGCTGAGAGGTTGAAGCCTTCCAGTCTGAATGAGAAGAATTCAACATTTATATTAGAGTCAGAATTTTAATAGCGGTAACACCCAAAATTTGATATTGTAATTTTTACATTTTTCGTTGTTTTTTAAAAAGTATATATTATACAAAACAATATAGCCCAAAACGATTTTTTTTATTTAATTTATTTTACAAGATATTAACAATTAAATTTCAAAGCTCTTTTTAATTAAAAAATAAATATCTAAGGATAGAATGAATAGATTTTAAAAAACTTTATATCATTTTACTCGGAAATAATTGAAGTTTTTGATAAAATAATTATAATACAACAAATGCTTAAAAAATTTAATTTTTATTGCAAAATTAAGTTGTAAAATGAAAAACAAAAATGTTGTTAATGTCGTACAAAGTTCAAACAAAACCCATTTTNATCCCTTCAGTGGGTCGATTCAAGAAACAACAAGAAATGTAAAAATTATGATATTAAATTTTGGGTGTTACCGCATCTAAAATTTTGACTCATTAGCTTTTTATAAAATGCAATAAATTGGATATATTGGAATCCCACAAACAAAGAAACAACTCCTTGCAGAGGAAATATTAAGAATTAAAACTGTATGAAAGAAAAAAAAGTAGCCAAAAGAGATATTAAAAAGATAATCATTATAAAATGGCTGCTCAGTGTACGCAAAATTTGAAACTATTTTCATCTTACCTAAACTATGACCAGCAATAAAACACTTTTCCACAAAATGCTGGATTACAGGGGATACAAAAACAAATTATTGAGCTCTTGACTCACAGTATCCACAATTGATTGACAGTATGAAGAGCTACTAGACAATAAGATATCTATTAAAGTATCATTTGTGAAGTGGCGTAACTTTAAGAGTAATCATTTTCATTGTTCTGAAAAGGGAAATAAAAGATAAATAAGCATTAATACACTCAATTTTTTTTAAACAGAACTAAATAACTTAAAAAATAAGCAATAAAAGTCGAACAAGTTATCCAAAAAAGAAGCACGAAAAACATATGGTGACACATAAAGCATAATTACGAAGGAATGCTTTTTAGAAAGTTCATTTTAAAGAAAATTTATACAAATTTACTTTTTTGATTTGTGAAATAAAATAACTTCATAATTTCCGTAATAAATTTAAATTACAAAAATTAAATATACCCTATGATTTTTTAAAAAATAATCATACAGTACAAAGTCCATACCCTTTCTTAATAAATCCTCTTTCCCCACAGCAGTTATTTTTAAAGCAGAAGCTTAACAACTTATTAAACTCAACTCATAAAATACTGAAACAGGCACACTAGTCTTAGCATATATTTTTTACCCCTTTTAAAACCTTTTTAATATTAAGCTCTATACTTTTCAATCAATTACTAATAACTATATAAAAGCTTAAAGATTTACAGCCAATTTAAATTAACACAATAAGCATTATTGTTCAGATATCATCACATCACAAGTAAATATAGATCCGAGTTAAAATCGCATAGTATTCATAGGCAGAGAAAGTTTTGTATGATAAATTTTTTAAAATAAATTAAAATCTGAAAAATATTTTAAATTTCAAAAATATATTCTGAGATGAGAAACCAAAAATATTAGGAATTATGAATCAAAATGTGAGGATGATTAAACTAACCATTCTCAAATAAAAACTAAAATACAATAATTTGAACAATTTATGAATGGATTTTTCTTTTAAGAACTAATTAACTTCTTCGAATGTGAGTAAAACTTAATTGTACCTTAAATATTATAATTTTTTAACACCCAAAAGAAGATGATCATTGAATTTTCAATAAAATTCATAAATACCCAGGTATTTGTGAATTTTGAGTATTTACCCGGGTAAATACCCAGGGTATTTGCCAAGTTATAAAATCTAAAAGCATGGTATAGTAAAAAAGAAAAAATAAATGAATAAAAAATAAGGAATAAAAAAAAGAAGACTGTTTTATGTGCAGCAAATTTAGTAACTAACTATGCATTTTAATTGTTGTGTTATAGAAGAAAATATAAAATCTGAATAATGTAGGAAAATATAACTTATAAGCAACTCATTTTGAAATAGAAGTTTTACTCTACACAGATCTGGCCTGAAATTACTTAATTATTTAAGCTAGTTAATAAATATTCATTTTATGCATATTAAATATTTATGTTTTTGAAAAAAATATAAAATCTAAATAATGTAAGGAAATATAACTTATAGCAACTAATATTGAAATACAAATTTTACAGTATCTTATCTGCTGTATTGTACTTTACAGATATGACTTAAAATTCTATTAAAGTTAAGCTAGTTGATAACAATGCTGATAGTACTTTTCTTATTCTTGTGATAAGAAATAGACTAGAAGAATTTAACACTAAGTAAAATTAATAATAGGATAATATTAAACTTTTAACAAGCAATAATTGATCAATATGTAACTATATCAATTAAAAAGTGTTTACATAATAGGATGTTAAAAATATAAAAGGTAATGTAAGGTAGTTAAATGTAAGTAGTAAATGAAACATTTAGGTAGCAAAACTGAAAACCAGCACCGTAGTTACATTTAGCAGGTCTATTATGTTACAAAAATAAATAAATGACCCACATGTTAAAAATTAGTATTGTAGAAACATGATCTTTTTCTTTATAAATTAATAAATTTAAAGTTTGATTTCAGTAGTTATTATAAATTTTAAGTCAATAATTTCCTTTCTTGTGTGTTTTAAGTTATTTCTTAATTATTTAAATACTTTGCAATGTAAATGCCTTTAACTACCTCGTGAGTGGTTTTTTCTTAGCATTCTCCTCAAAAAGGAAAAAAATGTAGTAAATTTGAAAAATGACTTCAGAAAAAGAGCAAAAAATATTTCACATTTTTTTTTAAATAACTTCACATAGAAATGACTCAAAATTATGTCATTTTATGCTGAATAACAAAAAAAGTAACATTGCTCCCCTGTGTCCATACATAAGAGTATAGTCATCTAATATATTTCATTCTATTGAAATGAAAAAAGTTCAAAAAATTTAAAAATCACACTAATAATGTCAGTATAGTAGTTTACTTGCCTTCAGTTACTATCTATGGTGTCTCACAATATTAAAAAAAATTATTAGTAAGTTATTTTAAAAACTGAATTAAAAAAAATAAAATGTTAATCCTTAAAGTGCATTTTTTCTTATACTGATCATAAATGCTACAATGTAAAGTAGAAAGGTAGAGGTAATATATAATTACACCATTTTATCTTCTACGAATAAACATGCATTTTCATCCATGCACCTTGTAAAGAATTTTATTAAAAATGGAGGCTAAGAGATGAACATTTAGCATTACTTTTTTGAAATTTGAACAATGCAGTTCAAATTTTTTTTAAAATAACCTTTGAAATCACAATTGCAGTTTAATGCAACATATTGCTATTTTTGCTATAATATTTTTAAGCTTTTTGAAATTTTAAATTATTATCCTCCAATTTTCAAAGAAATTTGCTTAACACTGTATAAAGATAAACTAAACTATATTATGAGAAACTAAATTTATTTATGTTTTTAATGTTAAAAATTTCGGTCTTATGAACATTTCAGGGAAAAACAATTATGGTCCCTAAAATTTAAGTTGTAATTTTCTATACTCAGTTAAGCTGTAAGTTAAAAAATTAAGTTTCTATATTCAGGATTCTCTGTCTCCTAACAACTCTGATGACAAATTTCTTTGATGTCTCGAAGATTTTCAACTGATTCTTTGACTGATTAAAAAAATTATTCTTTTTTTATAAATAATATACCATACAAATTTATAAGGAAATCATTCACGATAATTTATATATTTGTTCAAAAAATTTAATTTTTTACATAATTAAAACTAAAGAAATAAATCTGTTTGTTATTTATATTGAAAAAGACATTAAAAATACTTACTCTGATCTCTAACACATGTATTTGGTTGAGTCAGCTGTCGTACAAGTTCTTGAACAACTTCAATTATAGCTTTGTTTTGAGTTGCAACCATGTCTGCATCATCACCAGGATAATGTTTACAGTAAGTAGTGAGCATTGTTTGTAAATTATTTCTAAACAAGTAAAAATGAAGGAAACAATTAATAATGTAAAATCATTTCGTTTCTTTTTAAATTGTTTGTAAATAAGTAAGGAAAAAAAAAAAGATTTTCATGAGAACTAATAAAAAAGCATATAACATGCAGTATTTTTGACATATTGGTTAACTTTTTCAACCTATCAAGTACAATGAAAAATAGGAAATATCGATGTGTCATGATAAACATTGAGTAAGCTAGTTTTCATTTTTTTTTTAACGAATGCAAAGTCTTACA